ATATATATATATATATATTTCACCGTAACATTTTTATGAAAGTTTTTAAATAATGAATTATAATCAATGCAATTTTATCGTTCGATGATAAACTCTTTATGTGTCTAAATGCTTTCTGTTTTTTTCACTTGTAGCAACACTAAGAGGAGAAGTACCAAAAAATTTTTCACATATTTCTATTCGTGATTTTGTGATTCCGACCGAAATTTCTTCCTGCATTTTTGCGATATATATTCTGCATTTTCTTTAAATTTATTTCGCATAGCGTTCCTCGTAGAATTTCATAAGAGAAAATTCGAAACTTCTGCGGCAACGAAGATTACTGATTATTTATACACTTACGTACCTACAAATAAATGGACGCGCTAGATTATATTGTTTGAACGAATTTACCCTGCAAGCTCTTGTCACGAACGTGTCTAGTGTCCATCTGTCTCATCCGTAATTGCGATAGTTTAAAAAACTAGAGTTCGATGTGGAAAAAAATGTTCCTTCGAATGTTCAACAAACTACACGCCGCACCACACACATTTCGTTTCATATCGTTTCACCATTTTGACGATTTCAAATTTAAAAATGTCCTTCGCGGGTAAAATGATAGGAACACATTTATGCCAGAGAAGATTGTTTTCCCGGATTAAATGTCCAAACTTTGGGAGCGTGTTGAGGACCGACTCATTCTGTAGCAAGCCTATTCGATACCAATTAATTTGAGAGATTAAATTGTAAAAATGTTTTACTATTTAGCTGTAATCGGTTCGATGCAATGCTCGCCAACATTTCGAGCAGTATCTTCGTTAAATCAATGATACAGAGAATCTGTGTATCATCTATGTATTATTGATGATAACACGAATAAATGAATGAAAAAACCGAAAACTTTTCTCGCGATTTTCTCTGAAACGGAGCAGAAACGAGCAGATGGCTGAAGGAATTCTGTTTCTTCATTTATCGGTTCCCCGCGCGCTCCCGATGTTTTGATATTTAAATTCGGGCCGTGTATATGGTAAATCCTCCCGTATTCGAATTCCTATTATTCGAATTACTCTGTCATTCGAATAGAATAAATATCATCTCTTGTATTGAAATACAAACATTCGAGAATCACGGCAGAGTTAATTTTCTGATAAATCGATACGACGAGCTTACGCGTGACAAAAATATTCAGTTTTACAAACTGAAATAGAAAATGAAACAGCCAAATGTTGGAACGTTGATTTAGAAAAGAATATAACTCTTGTCAGCGTTAAGGAATTGATAAAATTTACAGACTCTTTCAATTGAAAATTTAATGGAATTCAATTTAAATTTCTCTTTTAAAATCCAGAATTTTTCACGAAAAATTGGTAAAATTTATGAACTTTGTTCAGAGTTCAGATGCATCAGATGCTCAGTGTAATTTCTCTTTCATCGTATTACACGAGAATCGACTCATAAAGGAACACAATGTTTTTCTTTGACATCGTTTAATATTTTTCACTATCGTGTCTTTCATCAATATTTGATGATTTTGTAAAATTTAAAAAAAAATCTAAGTATTTGTAACATATTAATTTAATGAGTTAATTCTCTGTAATGGACAAAAGAAAAACATTATTAATTAATTAATTAATGATTATTTAATTTTATTACTGTTATGATTTAAAGATTATTGTAAAATCATAAATAAATTATTTAGTATTGATATGACAGAATGATAAAACAATACACGTATAAAATAATATTCTCAAAATGTGAATACACATCTTTCAAATTATACGGTGTCGCAGAGATAACTTAATTAAACTTAATTAAATGAATTAATAATTAATTAAACGCTTTGCTTTATTAATTCGAATATGGGAGGTCCTGCTATACCAATTAATCAACGATATAATAACACTAAAAATATAATACAGATGACGATTTTATACTACTTCTGCAAACATTTGTTCACGTTGCGACGAAGAAAATTTTCTCAATCAAATCTCTCGAACGACGAAACAAGCACACGATAATTAGTTAATATCTAATTTGTTCGAGGCTTTTGTATCGTAAACTTATCGCATTTGAAACAACAAGTTAATAAATTTTTCAAAGAAAAGTCTCGACTCATGAATTTTATCGTAAAATACACTGAAGAGCATAATTGAATCAACCACAGTTTTGTATAAATGTTTTCCTTACTGACGTTAATGTATATAAAGAACAAACATTTTAGACAAAAATATTTTGGTTAATTAATATAGCAATTTTTGATTAACTATTTAACCAAGTCCATTACAGGCCAAGCAACGTTACAAATACGTCAATTTCTTGCAATTTTATGGAGCTGTGAAATCCAGTATGAATGTTGAGAAAAAATTTTTTAAAAGTTTAGATAAAAATTGCAAATAAAATATTGCATTAACGCAACGTTAATCTAAATGAATCAATTATATCAATCATATCAATCATAATCAATTATATCAATTATATCATAAATTAATCAATAAAATTTAATATATTTCAATATTAAAATTTTTTTTAAATTGTTTATTTAGCAAGAAATATTTATTCATTCAGTTTCGCGTAATTAAATTTTTAGATTTATTGACTCGATTAAAATAATAGAAAATTGATTGTTTAAATAATACATCGTCTTAGTTCGATGCTATTTTGAGATTTCGTTTTAATTTATTCGAACAATTACAATGAAATTACTGATTAAAAATACTAATTAAAGATTAAACTACTAATTTTTTTGAAAAATTCAAATTGCCACTTTGTTATAATTACCTGTGTTTGACGAGTATCTTAAGTTTCGCTAGAATTAATTATACAAAATGTTTCTGTACATCATAATGTCAACGACAATGAAGAATAATTTCACAACGAGATCTACAATTAATTACAGATTACCAATCATGCTCTTCACCGTCTATTTTCGAAACAAATACCACGCACGACGAATTCACACTCTCTCGTAGCGATTCTTTCTCAGCATCTACGCACACTTGAGCAATGCGACTTTTTTTAGTGCAAAAAAATCACGAGAAATGATACCGAGATTCGACACACGAGTTTCTGAGAACGACAGACTTGAGTATTTAACTTGACGTCTCGCTCGTTCGGAAATCTTTGTAAGAAAAACAAAAAAAAAAAAAAAAAAAAAAAAAACACTTTGTCTTCTAGATTTCTCCATCGGATTTGTTCTGCCTGTTCTCTTCTTTGGTTAATTTTACCTGTGAAAAAGCTGCCTCGACGTGGGCCGGGCACGACGAAACAATCAAGTCCATCTGAAAGCAAACAAAACGCAAACGGCCGAGTATTAAAAGGAACGGAAGTTTCTCGAACGATCGAGCTTCGAGAGATCTTTCACCGGGTCATTAATAAGGGATGTTGAAATGATCGTGGATTCTTTAAGTAGAGAGGATCAAGTGAACGTTGATATGAATTTTATTTTTTCAGGTCTCGAATGGTCCTTGGAGTTTCTTGTTAAAATTGATATGATTCACATGAGGGATAAATTTTATTTCTCAAGCTTTTGAACGATCCTTGGAATCTTTTCTCAGGCTGAAACGAAATTTATAGATGCCCAAGGATCGTGGATTCTTCCAACGAACGAGCAAAGTCGATCCAAACTTCATTTTTCAAGGTTTGAAGGATTCTCGAACATTTCTGTGAAATAGATAAAATTTAGGGATGATGAGCTATAGATTTCTTCGCCGGAGGAAGATGAATCTGGCATTTCATTTCTGGAATCCTGAATGATCCATACAGTTGTTCGGGAATTGAAATAATTTATAGATAATGTTCTCCAGTGGAAAATTAAACAGAATTGAATGGAACTCGGACCAAATTTTGCCCGAGCGCAGACTTTTTTCCAACGGAGAATTAAATGGAATTAAAGGGAATCTGATTCGAATTCCCTTCTTCGAGTCTTGAATAATCCACAGAACTTCCTGTAACATTGGCAAATGGATTACAGACTTCCTCCAATGAGGAATTAAGTGGAATTGAATAGTTTTCCGACCGAAATCTCCTTGAATCTTGAATCTCGAATGATCCTTGGAATTCTCCACGAAATTAATCTCTTTTTCTTTCTCATTTATTTATAAATCCAATCTTCTTCGCGAATCACGAATTCTTCGTGCAACTAATGAAATTTACGAAGTTAAGATTTCTTTCAATCAATTCGATAGAACTAAAATGGAGTTTGGTTTAAATTTCGTTTTTGGAATATTGCTTGGGATTTTTGAAGATTATTGATAAAACTTGCGGATATTCGAAATAGATGATGGATTTTTTTCCAATGGAGGACTGAATTTATGCGAAATTTCGATGACTTCTAATGGAAAAATTGATTTTTCTGCCTAAGTGTTTTAGATGGAGTGTTTTCCGAGTGTAGGATGAAAGTGAGAGGATAAAAATCTGCTTAATTTTCACACGTTGCGTAAAAATAGCGAAACAATTTTTAGTTAGACATCGCACAAGAATTAAATTACGAAGCATCAAAGAGACACTGATTGTTTTGAAATCAATTCCATATCAGGTTATCAGGTAGCATCACATTGCAGAGATCACACGAGACTGTGTTAGTTTTACGATAAAAGACACGAGGTAAACTGAATTCGAATTTTGCAATGGCCGGAGACAAGCGCATACGCTGCAGTAAAAATTCAAGAGACGAGTTGAAGAAAATGAAAGAGTGGAGAGCGATGGAATTGTCGATGAGTTAGAGTGACGTCGCATCGGTGTGTTCAGAGGTTACATATGGTTTCATGAAACCATAAATTATCTTCTAATGGAAGAACTTCGTTCCAAACTCACATATTATGTGTACGTACATAATAAAATTTTATATAAGTACTGAAGTCTGTTAAATTCTGCTCGTACGATAAATTTCATATAATAAATACATAAATTTATCATGAAACCATAAATTACGTATCTTCTGCTAGAAAATATCACTCTAAATTTGTAAATGAAATAAACATTCAACCGGGTACGATAATTTTAATACGTGTAATAAACCTTTTTATAATATGAATATTGAATTTTATTAAATTCACTTGATACAATAAATTTCATAGCAAAGTAAGTAAAATTTTATAACAACATCAAGTTATAAAACACGATGGATTCTCCTATATTTAATAAAAAAAAAAAATTTACTACATGCGCGAATCCATCGATCGTATTTATTCATAGCAAATGACAAAAAATACTGAGAAATATAGGTACCTACATATTTCTGTCGTAATGATGCCGTAACTTCGAAATCTAATTTTATTTCGGAAATTGAACCTTGAACTATTTCCCCAAGCTAGCATTTGGGGAACAGAAAATTCGGATTAGTTAGTTCTCTTGTCAGGGAACCGACGACGACGGTCCTCCCCACTTCGTTTCAATCCTCTTCGATTCTCAGCCGAAGCGTTCAATAATGAGCGAAAAGCAGATAAAAGCCGCAAAAAAACATCGGTCCAGGTTGGGAGTCTTTTTTCTCTTTTTTCTTTGCAAATTTTATTCCTTAACTTATGGTGAAGAACACGGGTGAACCATAAGTACCATAACTACAGTATCACGTATCAGAATAAAATGGACATCACTTGTTATAAAAAATGATGAAGTACAAACACATACTCTTTTATACATTTAATTTCTAGTGTTTAGATCTTAGATATGGATTTTATTAAATTTTTAATGACATGAAATTTCAAGCAACATATAAATCTCGACAACATTCTTGTGTGATTAATTGAATTGAATTTGTTTCATCTTTTCGTAATCAACGATTTTTAAAGTCAAACG